CCATCTCTTCTCTCGTGGTCACAATAATCGAATCAAAACAAGAAAACATTGCTCCCAACATGTGTGTGTGTCACATGAAAACGCCCATTCCCATGCTTTCCCTATTGTGTCTTGTTTGTAAAAAGTTGTGTTTGTTTTTGCGCCCCTAACGTGATGGTATCCCTTCTCTCTCGTCGGATGCTAAGATTCCCCGACCTCTTTTCGAATTCCGAATGATCCAAACCAGACTCGACTTTTGCGTCAAAAAAAAGCGGGAGGGCGCGCAGGGTTTACAGAAGAATCGAAGAAAACGGGCGTCGTTGTACGGTAAATTATATGTTGTTTCGTCGTCGAATAACGTGGTTTCGGATCGATTTCGGAGTCTATCGCCGATCACCTCCCTCGGCCGATTCGGGGATTTGCTTCGCTTCTGATTCGGACTTGGCCTCCACCGCCTTGCTCTTGCTCGCTTCCACTTGCTGTACTCGGTTTTTCCTGTCGCCCTTGTACCTCGTGTCCAGGATGCGGTCCCAGAAGATAAAGAACGGCTGCGAGAAGTTGGTCTTGATGCCCCATGTCTGGTGATGGATGTCGTGGTAGGCGGCGTTGTTGCTCGAGATGTGCTGCAGGGGGTCCCAGGGCAGGGAGTAGCCGCAGTGGTCGTCAACGGTCTTGATGGTCGAGAAGCAGAAGAAGAGGAGACCCTGGCGGGCGGTCATGCCCGTAAGAAGGAAGCCAATACCGGCGCCGAGGGTGTCGAGGAGGAAACCCTCAAAGGGGTGGTTATACAGAGCACCGTAGGCGTAAGGAACGTAGAGGCGGTGGTGTCGCGAATGGAAGGTAGCTAGAGGAGCACTCTGTCAGTCCTTTGAAGCTCTTCCGGAGATCCCGGAGCGCAAACAACTTTTGCGCCGAGGCGTGAAACTTACTGTACATCCACTTGTTGACGTGCATCAAACGGTGGAGGAAGTACTGCCATGTGTCGAGGACCGAGACAGCGGCGAACAGCTGCATACCGGGGATGACCAGCCAGTAGATGGCCTTAGCGACAAAGAGCTCCCAAGCGGCGAAGGCGGGGACGACGGAGTGCGATCCGTCAAGCAGCTCGGTGGTGAGGAACGGGTAGTGGCCTCCAGCGAGGGCGCCGGCGATGAACGGGTGGCCCGAAGCAGACATGTTCTTGGAAATCGAGGCGGCGTTGAGTCCGAGCAGGCCGAGAACGGTGGGCAGGGCGCGCTGGGCAAGGCGGACGCGGGTCGCCCAGACGGCGACGTCGTACTCTTCGCGACCAACGGTCTGCTCGTCGTCAATAACCTCGAGGAAGACGGACATGGCGACCTGGATCAGCTGCTGGATCAGGACATCGCGGGCGACCTCGTAGCGAGAGACGTGGTTGCGCTTGGTAATCTCCTCGGGGGTGTGAAGGCGGTACTGGGGCCAGACGTCGTAGGTGTCAATGAGGTGGAAGAACATTGACAAGCACCAGTAGACGACGATCGGGCCGAAGACGTTAAGGTAGCTGTCTGGGATGCCAGGAATGAGTTCCGGCTTGGGCCTCAATGTGTAGGCCGGAAGAGGCGGAAGGTCGGCGGCCGCCGACGTGAAGTTGAGGGCCATCATGGGAGGAACCGTTTCGTTCACCATGGCCGGTGCGATTGTCGTGGGATTGGGCGATTGCAATCGGTATGGTGTCGGGTGGTGGTAGGTTGTGAGGCGAATGGATTCGGTCGGAGGGCGCGGTAATGAAGGAGCGAGGTGAGGTTAAGAAGGAAGGGCGGGGAGCGAAGCACGTTCGCAGGCCAAAGGAGCGGACGGGTTGGATATGTACGGATATGAAATGCCAATCCTTGGGTGCAAATGCAGACAGGGCTGAGACGAGCAGTCGACTGGGCCTGTGGCGAGTTGTTGGTCGAGGTTTCACTAGCTTTGACTAGCTTGGTCCTTGTCTGCAATGCAAAAAAATGATAGCGCTTGACTTTAGGTATGTAAGTACACAGTGAGAGAGAGATGGGAGCAGAGCAGAAAACAACAGCAGCAGGTATCAGAGGTACGGTCTTATTCACTGGGCTGGCCGCTCGGTGCTTTAAAAGATGATAGGCAACGGTCTTAGCGGCGACGGCGGAAGAGCGGGCGGGCAATTTTTTCCCTTTCTCGGAGGCCGGGCTCTTCTCGAGGCGCTGGCCCTGCGGTGGTGCCGTGCTGGCCCATCACCCACTCCAAGAATGATGCGCTTTATCAATCTCGCTTGTGAAAAGGCGCGGGCCTCTCGCCTTTCGACTGTCTCCCGGTTTTGCCACGGATCGAACCACAAATGCCGTCGCGTTCTAAGCTTGGTCACTTGGGGGACAAGATCAGCTGGAGGCCTTTTAGACTCTGCGAGCATGCACCAATTGCCATTCCATTTATGCGTGCACTCCTGACTGCATTTACCAATTGCGCGCTCCCTCGCTCCTTTGCGAGTCTCGCCGCGTGTTGGCACTGGCAGCCGACAATACGCTGCGATGACGAACGCCTGCCACTACAACCACGAGCTGGCTCCTCGCGTAATTCGCGGCGGCCTTGTCATGTTGTCATAACTTTAACACCCTGCGCGGCTTGCTACGCTGCCGTGTCAGGCCACCGGGCTCTCCCCTGTCACCACCGTGGATACGCGGACAACTCGGTGGCTTAAGTAAGCCCGGTTCGCCGTGATCCACGACGCTGACTGGTCGAGCCGTGTTGACATGAAGGGGTGATGCTTAATAAGTCCAGAGCCCAATCTCATCGTGATGATGCGCCCACTCTCTGCTGTCAACAAAATATCTTCTCGAGGATGCCCCTTTCCGTGCCATGCGTTAGTAACATCCGCATGTCTGTCGAAGGAATCCAGGCAGGGCATGGCTTGATCATGACGGGTGCTAGACTTGATTACTTGTCCAAAGTGAGGCGTTGGTCCCATCATAGCTCCGCCCAATGTGCTATTCTAGAAAAGGGTCATTCTCACAAGGGTCAGACCCAAGACCAGACGACTCCATGTTGAAGAGAGAGAGGTTCATGTGACACGCCAGAGACTGGCAGTTGAAAGATCGGGCTGGAACTCACCGCTGTCGCACCCTGCTGGGCGCAATTGAGGCTATCCCAGCTTCGAACGTGGATGTGGTGGATATCGCCCTGGAGCCTTCAGCGGCTGCGGCGCCGTCGCCTCAACCTCATCGGCTGGCTTAGCTAAGACACGCTCATCCAGCTGCACCTTGCTGCAATGGCAACAGACGAGGTCGTTGACCAAGAGGTTATTCTCAAGTGTTTGTATCATCAAGCCGTACAGGTCAGGGGTACCTGTGTACAAGAATCCAGGTTGGTGCAATCCATGCACAATGGTAAACAAGATGCAAAAACAAAATACCTTCCCAGGTTGAGATTCCATCAGGTTGATATATGCGCATTCCAGCAGATCAGGCTCGCCCGCAGCCAGCTGCGAGTGTCCTCCGGGTCCGCGCGCACGTTCTCGCCCCTCGGCCAGGCCGCCTGTCCCGTTAGTCAAGCCCCTGTCTCTTCACCCAAATCCTTAACACGCACCCGGCCGGCCATCGAGACCAGTCCGAAAACGACCTAGCGCCTAAAACCCCACCAAACACAGTCCTCCCACTTGCCAAATTTGCGAACACTTTTCGCCCTTCAAAAGCGACCCCTCTTCTCTTCTCCAGACCCAGACAACGAATTTCCGTTTCGCAGTCTCGTTCATTTTTCACACCCCTCGACCTTCTCAGACAAACCGCCAAGATGATTATCTACAAGGTACGACACCAAGCCCCTTCAGACGACATACCGATGGCCTTGCAGAGGTACACGAGCTAGATGGATTCTGTACCCCGCCATTTTGGGCGGCGGAGGAAAAAAGCGACAGAAAATGTTTTTCTTGAGATAGGGGGACCGGAAAGCTAACCAGAACTCCGCAATGAATAGGACATCCTCACCGGAGACGAGATCATCTCGGACTCCTACGACCTCAAGGAGATCGCTGGCACTGTCTACGAGGCTGACTGCGCCATGATCACTGAGGGCACTGTCAACGTCGGTTCGTAATACCCTACCATAGGCCCCCTGGGCGCTTACCCCGCGCCAACTTCCGGTTCCAGCGAGAAGAAACAATAGCGGCAGGATGCTAACGGAGCAACGCTCAGACACCGGTGCCAACGCTTCCGCCGAGGAGGCTGATGAGGGTGTTGAGGACGCCGAGGTCAAGGTCAACAACATCGTCCACTCTTTCCGTCTCCAGTCCACCCAGTTCGACAAGAAGAGCTACTTGACCTACCTCAAGGGTGCGTAAAACTGCAGGCGAATCATGGCCAGCATATCGAAATTGAAGTTTCGCTAACACTGTTGCTCAAGGCTACATGAAGGCTGTCAAGACCGCCCTCCAGGAGAAGGGTGCCGATGAGGCCAAGGTCAAGGAGTTCGAGACCGGCGCCTCCAAGTTCGTCAAGGAGACCCTCCTGCCTAACTTCAAGGACTTCGAGTTCTACACTGGCGAGTCCATGAACCCCGACGGAATGTAAGAAGCAACCCCAATTCATCCCTTTCCATATTTGGATACTGACTTTGATCAGGGTCGTCCTCCTGAACTACCGTGAGGATGGTGTCACCCCCTACATCATCGTCTGGAAGCACGGTCTCGAGGAGATGAAGGTTTAAGAATCTCGACGGAAAAGTTCTGTTTTCGAGATTTTCTTCGGTGCTGGGCCCCATTTTACGTCTGGACACCTTGCTATAGCGTCCATCTGCTTTGGCATATATCCCTTCAGATCCTTAGCAAGCAAAAAAGTGAAAAAAGAACACTCGGTGTTGGCCGTAATATTTTGAATGATTCCTCGGTTGCTGAAGTGAACTGCAGATACTGATTTTGTTCTTATTCAATGCCGGCACCGATTATATCTACAGAGTGCCGTTCCCCGCAGGGTGGCCTGACTGACCGTAACAAAGAACGCCACAAATGCATGCCTTATGTAATGACAACGACCCCGCCTCTATCCATGCGCACTACTCTAGAACGTCGGCTTGGTTGCCAAGGGAATCGGAGGGGGCTCATCATCGCCGGGCGGCGTCGGCTGAGGCGCCCCGCCGATCTGAGGCTTCTTCTTCGGCGGCGGAGGCGGAGGCGGCTTCTTCTTCCCTAGAGCGTTCACGAGTCCGGGCGGCGGGGACAATGGCGTAGACGCGGTACTCGAATTACCCGCCTGCTGCTGCTGCTGCCCGCTGGCCTGCCCGGCATACTTTCCAACCTTGTCGGCAATGCCGTACTTCTGATTCAGATTGTTTGCACTCTTGACGCCGGCAGCGACCTGCTCCCCATGTCGTTGACGGAAGTTGTTGAACGTGGACGCCGCAGAGCGAGCATCTGCCATTGACACTGATTTCGGGTCCTTGTGGAAGTTGGATGCCGTACGGAGAGCTGCCTGCTTTTGTTCCATTGTAGTCCCTTCCGTTGGCGGCGGGCTGGCTGATTGCCCTGAGCTCTTGCCTAGCTTCGCAAAGCGGTTTTGCAGCTCGTTCATCTGGCCGGTGCTAGGCGGCGAGAAAGCCCCTGATCGCGGGGGCGGTGCAGGACTGCTGTTGTTGGAGCGGGACGGGGGATCGGGGGGGGCCGGCCTTCCAATGCCTAGGGCAGGTACCGATAGCCCAGCGGATCCAAGCCGGTTAAGTGCATTTTGGTTGAGGTATCCTCCGCCGCTGGATGTCGGAGGAGGTGCAGGTGATGCTGGCGCGGTAGCTACCGAGGTTGAGGATGGTGTTCGGGGTGGGAGTCTCGGGGGCAGGCTCGGCGGCGGCCGTGTTGCCGTCTGGCCAGGGGTCCTTCCGTCGGCGCCATCTTTCCGTCCCGGCGGCGGGGGCAGGTGAGAAGTCGACAAGCCCGTCGTGTTGACCCGGAATGGTTGTGGCGGAGGCGCCTCCTCTTCCTCTTGTTGCTGGGCGTAGCGATTGTCCTCGTAAGGCGGAGGCGGTACACCAGGCGACGTTGCAGTCGATCGTGGAGGCGGCGGCGGGATAGGTTGGCGTGGATCTCTCCTCGGCGGCGGTGCAAAGGAAGAGGGATCTTGTAGAGACGATAGTGGTCTGGCGACGTGGTCTGCTCGGTCCTTCTCCTTGTTCCTGCCCAAAAGTCCATTCTGCCTCTCTTCGTCAGCTTATCGATTGCGTGCTTTCTGCCATGATTGACCGAACGCACCACTTGGCCCTTGAGCGTAGTTCCCTCTTTCTCAGGATGCCACCCATTTTTCATGAAATTGCCGAGTCCTGAAGACATTGTGCCGCACGCGGTTTCTCGAACGTCAAAAAAAAAGGTTCGATGAAAAGGGGAACGCCCAAGAGATAACGTCGTTATGTTCGACTCGGGTTTCGGGCGGTGTGAAAAGGAGAGACAGGCGTGTCCGGTTGTGCAATTAATGTAAAAGCGTCTCCGGTGGAGGTTCAATCATGGATGTCTCCAGTGGTGGCTCTTCGTCAGCGCTGCATCCTGGTTCGCTGCGTGACGTCGGCTGGTGTGGCAGTGACACTGGACGGGAGTGGGCGCCCCCGCCGCGGTCACTATTGGGCCGCTAAGAGAACGGGCAGTCGGGCGCTGGCAGGGCCGCCAGCGGGCAGATAAATCGTGCTGGGCGCCTTGCGATTCAGGCGCGAAAAAAGCGCCCCTCTGCTGAAGGAAGCAGCGCCCTGGGCGTGGACTAAATATTGACTTTCGTCGCGTCGATCGCGTCTTCGAACTGCATGTCATCGTTGCTGCTTTCCTGACTGCGACCAACCCCGCCGATTGACTGCAGCCCAACAGCCCGCGATGGCGCAACGAAATATTATCGACGTCGAACTGTTGACTGAACACCTTGGATACGCGCCAATTGTACGTTGGTTTCTCATTCCTAGCCAGTGCATCTTGGGGTGATTGTGAGGCTAAGTGCGGCGTAGTCGCTCCTCGACAGCATCATCAACAACGTCAACGCAGTCGCCGACAAGACCCTCGACCGTGTCGAGCAGGGCCTCTCCAAAGCGCCGCCCAAGGCTCTCGGATTTGAAAAGGCACTCAAGCAGCAGAAAAAGAAGGCAGCTTCAATCGAACAGCAGGCCAATGTCGAGGAGACGGCAAAACTAGAGATCATTGACGGGGTGCACAAGCTCGAGACGTTACTATGCGCAGCCATCGACAAGAACTTTGACAAATACGAGTTGTACGTGATGCAGAATATCCTGGGCATTCAACCAAGCCACCGAAACTGGATGCGCCTGGCCCACTACGACGGTCTCGACTTTACAGCAGGAGCACATGAGGACGCACCGACGAGGGAGAGCGCCGACGCGCTGAGGCGGAAGTTGCAGGCCAGCCAACGGCTGAATGTCATGCTTCACGCGGAACAGGCCAAGAACGCGGCGCTACTGGCGAAGTTGAAGGAGGTTGTCGGCGGTAAGCCCGCCGGCGCCAGGAGTTCGCTGGGAGCTGCGGAGGTCAAGGTTGAGGGTGCGGACGACAAGGTGCCGTTCCAGTTCTTGCACAATAAGGGTGACTTGACAGGGGCCGACGCCAAGACGCCGATCACGACCACTACAGCGTTCAACTTGTCACAGCTGCAGGCGCTGCGGGCTCTGTCAACTTCGCTGAGGAACATCATGTCTGACCTGAAGGACACAGCCAGCACCGAAGAAGGAGTAGAGAAGAACAAGAGCTGGAGGCGGGAAAGAATGGAGTACGTCGAAGGCGAAACGAGGAAGCATCTTGAGAGCGTCAGGGGCCTCGAACTGGGCAAGGACGGAGAAGTTCGAGACGGAGAGTGGCAAGGCGAAGGAAGAAAGTTTGCCAAGGGCGAAGTTGAGGGACTTGAAAGCGTGGTCGCAGCCCTTGGGGGAGGCTCAGGTGAGCCTGCTGCACAAGACGATCCGGACGCCATGGACGAGTCATGATTCACTCAGCTTGTTTGAATTGCGATGGGACTGTTTTTCCAACAACACCACGACAGAAATACGGCGCCTATCATTCGCTATCTTTCTTTGCTAAGCGGGCTGTGGCAGCACCGGCAACGCCTCCAAGAGATGAAACTCTACATACAGAGCACATACGCTGAGCGCTGTAGCAGCCGGGAGGTGCCATATCCGTTTCACAGCCGGGCACCATCATTAGTGGTGTTGAAGGCTTGTCAATCACAGGTCTGTGGGCCGACACCGCGACGGTCCCCAGCTCGTTTCCTGCTGCTGGGATCTACACGAAAGGAATTGGCAAAGCATCATTTCGAGTAAGCTGGGCAGCTGCCAGTCTCAGAGATTCGTCGAGTCGCCAATAGCTTGACCGAGCTCGTACCCGCCCACAGCTTCTAGAACTTGGATGCAACTCTAGACACAGGCCACATCGGGTCCAAACGCTCAGTCAGAAGTTGGGCGTCCGGGTGCGTCAAGGAATGGAATAGGACGGTAGAGTCATACATCGCAGGTGGGCGGGAGGGACCAAGAAACATTACGACGTCACGAATCGAACGGTCATGTCAAGTGTGGGGAGGGAGGAAGTAGAATCAACAAGTACATACCAGATGAGCTCGAGAAGGGCAATTGAACCATGGTTCAAACTCCTAATCTTACAAAAAGCTACTGCAACTAAGGTTCGTGATTTCATATAAACGAACTAGGGCGTCGTAACTCTAGTCCCTGTCATACTACATCGGGCTTGATTGAAAGGGTTGAGAGCAGCTGCAGAATAAGGGGGGTCTTTGGTCTTCGAATGAAGAGAATCGCGGCCGCTCAACCACCTCCCGAGGTCATTACAGCCAACCTAGAATTGTTTTCCACAGCTCTGCTGCAATGTCCAGGTCGAGTGTGTGAAGGATTAGCCAAGTGACTACATGATCGCCTCGACCGCTTTGGTTGAGGTCGCCATGAGCTTTGACGATGTTCTGTGACGACGGCGGCCAGAGATAGATAGCAAGCGAGCATGTCTTCTTCTCGCAGCATCTCCTTGATGATCCATAGCATTCTGCATGAGTTTTGCTATTCGGGCTGATAGTATGACGAGATAGTGGTACTAAAAACAATGAGAACGACCAGGGTGATAACAAGAAGGACAATAATGAAGGAAAAGGTCATTACGCTGATTTCATGATGGCAATATAACGATACCACATCTTTCTTGCCCAGTATTCAGCCATGATGTTGCTCAGCACTGTCGCTGGTCCTAGACAAGGTTGGCGGAGTGACCTAGCACGCATTAGAGATATTAAACGGAAGCCCTCGGATTAATGCTGATTCTACTCGTTGTATTTGATCTACAGCTAGCGCGAGCCTGCTGCTATGTACTTCATTCTCGTGACTAAACGCCTATCTGCTGGTTAATGATTGATTGTTATGCTCCCGTGACCCAAACCCATTCCCATTAACACCAGTGAATGTAATACAAAACCATTGAAAAGGACAGAAAAAAAATCACATCTCCTCACTGATACCCTCAGAAGCCTTGTCCCACTCCTTGCACCATCCGAACCAGTATCTTCCGCGACACTCGGGCTCTGAAGGTGCCTTGGTAGGTGCCGTGGTCGGAGTTGCGGTCGGCGCGGAAGGGGCAGAGGTGATGAGATGCGAAGTGGTTGTTACAGGTAGAGAGGCTGTCGTCGAGACCGCGTCCTTGCATCCCCAGAAACGTCCTGGTGTCATGCAAGTGGTCGTGGCAGACTCACTTGTCGTTGTTGTTGACGTAGTAGTTGTCGTAGTGGACGTAGTCGTCGTCTTGTCCTTGCATCCAAACCATCCGGGTGTCTTGCAAGTTGACGTTGTCGACGTAGAGGTGGTGGTTGTGGGACCGCCCGTAGTCGTCGTCTCGTCCAAACATCCCCACCAGCCAGGAGTCTGGCATGTGGCGGTGCGGGTGCGAGTCGTCGATCTTGTCGACGTCGAAGACCTGGATGTGGTCGTGGTCTCGGTGCCGTTACTCTCATACATCTTCCAGTTGACGCAGTCACGGCATTCGGGTGTCGCGTGGCATACCGGGACATTATCATACTTCTCGATCACGTCGTGGATGACCGATCGAATCTTGTGCGTTCCAATACCAACGCGCCATCCCTTATCGGCCACTACGTCGTAGACACACTCAACTCCGGTATGGCAGGCAGACTCCATGGCGTATCCGGCGAATGAACATGTCGCAGTTGCGCCGTTGCAGGTGCCGATGTAAATGGGGTCTGCTGTGTGTCCAAAGTGGAAGGCACCGGTATTCTGACGAGCTTGATGGACCATCTGCTCGGCTCCCGGAGGTACTGGCAAGCCCAGTCTGCCGGCAGCGAGCGCCTCTGGTACGGCTTCGAAGGTAACGACAGGCACACCGTAGGTTAACCCCAGTAAAGAGCTAACCGCGCCACCCAGGGAGTGGCCGGACAGCCAAATATTTGCATCGGGGAAGATCTCGGTGACGTTGGAGTACAGTTCCTTAGCGGCCGTATAGTAACGGTGCTCATCCTTGAGTGCTTGAACGACGCAGGTGTTGTTGCATGAATAAGTAGACGTGGCGCAGTCGCAAACTTGATGCCAGGTCCACTGTCCTTGCTGAGCACAGCAGCAGCTGAAGAACAGGTTGTCGTTGACTTTGTCATTGGTGGTGGTGCCATCGCCGTCGAACACCGCGGGGGACGTGCCCTTCAGTCCGATGACAACAGTCGAGTTCGTCGCATCGGCCCAGATGTGACCGCGCAAACCGTCGGTCTCCCAACCAAAGTCCGCACTCCTGTTGTACGGGCCACCAACTTCTTCCCAGTCCGCTTGTCCCTCTTCCTCGACGTATGCGTTCGCTGCCATCATCGCCATACTCAGCACGGTCGCCCTGTCGGTGATATTGGGTCCGGGGACTTCGTCGGTGGTCCAGGACGACGGCGACATGATGTTGACATAGCCGCGCTGTCGGGCTTCGGTGACCATGGGGTCTACGACAGACGGGCGGCGATCGACCAAGCGTTCTATCTTGAGAGGCGAGCTCCGAGCCTTCAGAGGCAGGACCCTCTCCCTCTCGAAGCCATCCTCAGCGGTCAGCCACACCTGGCTTTCGGCGTCGTTTGCGTGGCTTCGGACATCCCTCCGTCGGTGTAAGTCAGGATGACGATATGTGCCGTGATGGAAGACGTGTCGTAGTGTAAATAGGTGCTCGTCTGAAAGGGGTTGTTGTGTGGTTGGCGGCAGCAACGGTCCAGGAGGCAGTACTGCCTGTTCTTGTTGGGGAGCTTCCCCTGCGGATGTCAAGGTTGGCGATACCGCGAGGAACGATAAGAGCAGCTGGGCCGTGACTCT